GAGTGAAGAAAATTAGATAAAAACATCTTTGACTGGGGTGAAGTTACAAAAACCAGCCAAAATTAAATACTTTCAAAGACAATTTGCTTAAATTTTTTAAAACTTTGACCAGCAATATTACATAGAGCAGTGAAAAATTCAGTATCTGATTACTTGAGAATAAATGAGGTAATACGGTGAACAGGACAAGAGAAGGACAGATTCTTACAAGTACTGTTTACACATGGTGAAGAGACACTCTTCCTACATGGCAATCTCTTCATCAGCTAAACAGAAGTGATTATGGTTTGAAGACACGGCCTCTTTTAGGGAACAGTGTGCCCTCACCAATAGCTTTTGGAAGTGGGCATTTACAATGTCTTTTTTATTGTTCTTAAGAAGGTTTTCCTCAGGTGAAATCCACTATAGGCTTGCAGATACCTCTTGCCCTTCCAAGGTTCACTGGGAGCTGTATTTCAGAGGCATAATAAATACCCTGGAGCAGCACTGCTCCCACATGCATTCTCTCCAGTAAAACCACACAGATTTGGGGTATCGACTGGGACATTTAAGACCTTAAATAAAACAAACAAATAAATAAATGAAAGAAACTACCCTTAACACCTCACAGAGCTCTAAACCAGGCCCTGTGGCTGAACTTTTTAAAAGTACACAGCAGTATAAATTCCACACTCTCTTACAGTCAACCTCATCTCCACAGGGAGCAGAGATGAGTCAAGACAACAAAACTGTTCTACTCCACCCTACTTGTGGGTCTGGAAAAACGAGGTTTAGGACTCTTGAGAGACAGAGAGAGACAAATAGGAGGGAGTGAAGGACACTGAGGGGGACTTGAGGTGAGCCAGCAGCAAAAAAGAAAAATCACAACAGAACACATACACAGAAGTAAGATTTCATCTGTTCTGGGACAAGACATGCAACATTATCTATTTTTATTAACAGCTGCATCCACCTACCCCTTCTTTAAATGAGTCACATAGGCACTCTGTAGAGCTGCTTCCAGGAAGAAGGAAAGTTCAAACTCAGAGTAAGTAATGTTGCTGCCCTTGATACTCCTTGAATGCGTGTTGTTTAAGGTCTGTGAGGGGAGGAAAGAAATATCTGGGATTATAGACAACCATTTAAACTAGCCAGTTCCTCATAAGCCAGAGACATCTCCAACAATAAAATGTTAGCTTATGCCATCGGATTCCTCCTCAGACTACTTGAAAACTTACCTTCATCAGCTATTCAAAAACCTTTCAAAGTCAACTTTAAAATAAACTATACAGTGGCTTCTACAAAATATTCTGCATGCAATATGAGTTTTGAAACACCACCCCTTATTACTTTCCAACCTTTAACAAAGTAAGTAGAAAGCTACACATTGATACCGAGGGCTTCAGAAGTACTACTCCAATCACACAGGTCCAGCATCTTGCACAGAAATATTAATGCAATGTTTGAGTAGGTAAGTCTAGTTTAAATAACATAAATACTTGTTAAGAGTTAGTAAGCTATCAGGCGTCCTGATGGAACAATCTTAGCCTTTCCTCTGTTTCTCCTATTAAACCCTTCTTGCTTTTGCTTCCTTACTGGTAACAAACAGCTTTCATTGCTGAAAGTTGCTCTGTGTGGACTCCCCAAAGCAGGGTTTTACATCCAGGACTGGAGAAGGCCTATGGACTTTTAATACATGTATCACTAATCCTGCATCCTTGTCTCTGTGTCCAGAAGATGAATGAATTACAGTTCAAACTCTTCCCCTTCTTTGAAGATACAAGCTGTCAGTAAAACCACCGACAGTGCCCAGTACTGGCAGGAACTCGTCCTTCCACAAGGGAAGCACAGTACTTAATTTTAAATAAAAAAAAGCCATTCAGCTTTTTCCTACAAAGAAAGAGACCAGACAACTTGGTAGCTGGCATTCTTAAAAGATAAGCTTAGTGCATATACAAAAATTCATTCTTGTTTTAAACTAAAAACAAAACCTGGAACAGGTACACACCTGTGTTGCTGGGAAGAGTAGAAATATCTGGTCAGAAGGCCAAAGGCCATTAAGTTACAGAAGAACAGGTAACATGCATTGCCATCAGTGCTGCTGGTGTCAAGCATACCATGTGGCAAAGGAAGGGCGTTGGAAGCACACAGTGTGCCCTGTTAAACTCAGCTGGGCAAAGTTACACAGATAGAGACCTCTAAGCATGTGTCCAGCAAATCAGTGGCACATACTACAGCTCAGTGGAGGGCTCAGAGCACTCATCTCACTCCGCATCCTAGCCAACTCTGACCAAGCAGTTACTTGCTACTAATGATCTAGGTTCCTCCCGTTTCACTTGGAGGAGGTGAAGCACTGACAGTTAAACTGCTATGCTGACCCAAAAAGGTTATTACTTTCAGCATTAGGAATCTCAGTATCTTCTACTGTGTATCATTTACAGGGCAGATACGTAAAACGTCTTGGGTTCCTTCATGCTGGCACTTGCTATGCAAAGTTTGTAGTCTCTCTTTAGTAAGTTCAACTTGAGATACAACCTGAGCATATCTGAAGTATTCAGCGCATTACCACAGGCAAAACTGGTTTCCAGACCTCATTCTCAGAGGAAACAGAGACCAGATGAACCGCTGTTTTGCAATGGCTTATACCGAGACACCTCACACCTTCCAACTTGTCCTCATACTTCTTATTGTCCATGACCACTTGGCATTTCCCCATCATTTCTGCTGTCAAAACCCTGGAAATTCCACCCAGGCCACCAGGTAACACCCTGAGCACGTTTCTCCTTACCTTTTCAAGCTCCTGCAAGTACACCTGGGCAACGACACACGCTGTCTCAAAACAAGCCATGACTTCTTCCTCCCTTTCACACAGTCGAGCACGCGAGGCAATCGAATTGGTTGAGCGCTCCAGTGACAGACCTGCAAAAACGGCAACATCTTCTTTAACAGGAGCCCACCAACAGCAGTACGGCCATGTTATTCCTTCATTTACCAGCTGACAGGAATTTTTTTCCATACATGGGTTTCCCACTTGTTTTAGTGACTTTCAGGAAAATACCCCCAGGAAAATATAATTCCTACATATGCAAGGCATTTTTGTCATGCTGCTCTAACACACAGTGCCACTGCACGCTTCTATCGTGTCTTTCAAGCACTTCACAAAGAAAGGACATTACAATCCCTCTGGTAGGGATGAACACGCAGAGAAATTAAGGCCTGTATTTCCAAAGACAGCTATAGATTTTGGGTGCTTCAATGCAAGTGTTGTTTCGGAAACACTCTGGCACTGGATTTGAGAATTTCTAAGCATCCACCATTCCAAGTGAAGCTTTCAATAAGCAGCAGTTTTGAGGGGAAAAAAAAACCAACACAAAACTCAAAAATCAACCTACTCAAAAGTGATACTAAAACAAAGTTGGAAAAATCTAAGGCCTCTCTTGGAAAATCTGAGCACATGCAAATTGCACATGAATACACAGCAAGCTCTTGGCAAGGCACAAGAGACTCTTAATCACAAGATCACCTTCTTTTCCAAAGAAAGGAAAAAACTCTGGGTTTTATACTACTAAAACTCTTTCTTGTATCATCATCCAACCCCACTTACAAATAAAGAGCATGTTAATTGAAGACCCACAGCTATTGTCCCTACATGAAAATCTTTTATTATCAGATCCTTGTCTGGCATCACACTACGACACCCTTTATACTTCTGAATCTATGTGGAGAGACTACACATCCACATACCAATTTTACTCTGATCAGCATAGGTTCTTGTGCCACACTGGCTCTCTACAATACAGCATTGCTTGGAAACTCAGGTCTTCTACACCAGACACAACCGTACTGATGCCCAGTAGCCCAACACAGGTTGTAAACAGTTCAGCACGTACTTCCCAATACGTTTTCTATATAACAACACTCCCTAATGCCAATGAAAAATGTGTAAGATGTAACACAAAATCCTAGTGTTCCTGACACAGATCCACAGAGGTGACAAAAGAAGAAAGAGTTCAGCTGTCTGGACAGCCTCTCCAAGAAAGCTATTTAGACTGCTGTAGCATACAGCAAAGGATTCTCTTCAACGTGAGGAGCCACCGCACACACCAGGAGCCACACTTTCCTGGGCTCCCGCAGTCCCAGAAGGCACAGCACCTCAGCACAGCTTGTTTCAGAAGTCTGACAACAAACCACTGTGAGGCAGCAATGGGGAGCCAGGTTTCCTCATGATGAATGATGCAGTACTGAGGTTCCTAGGTAGTCTTAGCTTTGTTTACTTCTCATGTTCAACGTTTCTGTTTTGTCCCCTTGGTTACTCTTCTAGGTTTCCCTATCTCATGTCTTACATTTGGGCCAGACACGAGCAGTTAGTTCAGTGGGTTGAGAGAAGATGACTGTGTCCTGCACCGGGGCCCCCAATACAAGAAGGACATGGAACTGTTGGAGTGAGTTCAGAGGAGGGCCACGAAGCTGATCAGAGGGCTGGAGCACCTCTCCTGTGAGGACAGGCTGAGAGAGTTGGGATTGTTCAGCCTGGAGAAGAGAAAGCTCCAGGGAGACCTTATAGCAGCCTTCCAGTACCTAAAGGGGGCCTACAAGAAAGCTGGAGAGGGACTGTTTACAAGGGCACATAGTGATAGGACATGGGGTAATGGCCTTAAGCTGAAAGAGGGGAGATTTAGATTAGATGTAAGGAAGAAAATCTTCACTATGAGGGTAATGAGGCACTGGAACAGGTTGCCCAGAGAGGTTGTGGATGCCCCCTCCCTGGAAGTGTTCAAGGCCAGGTTGGATGGGGCTTCGGGCAGCCTGGTCTAGTGGAGGGTGTCCCTGCCCATGGCAGGGGGGGTGGGACTAGGCGGTCTTGAAGGTCCCCTCCAACCCAACCCATTCAATGATTCTATGCCCCACTGGTGCAAGCTCGGCAGGTGGCTCCCCACTCCTTCTGCCCTCTCCCAAGTCAGCAGTGCACAGCACGTTCTCTCCAGAACCTGTATCTTGGAGGAACAGGCTCAAGTATCTTTCACCTTTGAAAATCCTGACCAGAGTAGAGCAGGGGGAGTGGATTTACTTCAAACTGACACTGGGGGCGTGGGGACAGGGATGATGATAATTTTGCTGCTTTTAACTAATGCCCATTTTGTGTTCTCTCCTTTCTACTGACATACACCTTGTACAGCATCCAACATACAACATATTTTGTCTTCCAGTCTCTCTACAAAGTCCCTGGCTTTATATCATGGGTTGTTTTCCTATTATTTCAAACCTTCTATTTCCTAACCCTGTTGCTATGTAATGAAGGGGAAAAGAAGATGTTAAGTCTCTATACAGAAAAAGAAACCATCCAGTGCTGAAGCCAGAACAGCCTACAAATATTCTCCTTAGATCTGTCTCTGTTTCATCTACCTCTGAATTTCTAGTCATTCCCCTTACTGAAAATAAATGTTAATAAGTGTTGCATTTCAGAGTCACCATCCCCTTAAGCGCAAAGTGGGGCTGAGGGCCCTGAAAGAAATCCAGTACAGTCCACTGACATTCATACACATGCAGTATTTAATCAAACTGCAAGAGTCATCCTAGCAGTCTGTGTGGGGGTGGTTATCGTGGGAGATGTCACACAGAGAGAACGGGCTGATAAAAAGCCATTTACGTACATGCTACAGCCCACTGCAAGGAGCTACTATCTCAGCTTTGACATGGGGGAGGAAAGCAAGCAGCATTTGCCAGCACCAAGTACTGACAACAAACATGCCCATCCATGGGGTCAGAAAAACAGAGCTGGGGCAGATTAGAGACAGGGGAATGAACATCTCCAAAAAAGGTTTCTTGCCACAGTAAGTACAGAGAAATAGACAGTGTATTAGAACAGATACTATGCCACATTGCACACATTTCTCCACTTGTAAAGGCCAAAAAGGAAAAATGACCCACATGATGTGACATTAGTCATGGTTCTTTCTGCTAATACCATATGCACTGACCTGATGTCATCAGAGTATAAAATCTTCTACAGAATCCGAACAGGGCTATTCTTCCCTACCACAGAAATGCAATGAGAAGAAAAATTAGAGCAAGTAGACTGCAAATCCAGTAGACAAAGTGAAGAACAGAACGACAGCAAAAGTTCCCTACTCTTGCAGCCACCAATTCAGTTCTCACAGTGCAAAGCCCCAGTTACAGATTTGCTCAAGGTGCAGTTGTACAAGACTGTTTACAACTCCTCCAGTCCTGAGAACACAGATTCCACTAACTCTTCTCCACCCCACCTCCCTGCCTTGTTATCAGCACAGAAATAATTTTGTAGCACAACATACATTTTAAATTCAACTCAGTTCCCAAAAAGCATCAGAAAGCCCTGAAAATGCATGCTACTTCCACACTGGATTTAGCAAGAAAAGTGTAGCTCTTGCTAAGACAGAATTAGCTTCTGAGTAAAGCATAAAGCCATATGCTTTCTTGGTAGCTGGTTAAGGCAAAGGGACTTGGGTATTTTTCACAACCAGTTAAGGTAAGATAATACCAACTTGTAACTTAATCTAAGCTAAGATTTTCCTCATATGAATTGGGTGCCTAAATTTAAATATATACATACATACATACCATAAGAACATTTTATATAGTGAAGATACAGATTTCTAATAGAGTATGGCCCAAGCTCAAGATTTAAAGAGGGACACATGCTTCCAGATTATCCCTTTCAAAAGAACAAACTTTCTATGTATAGAAACACTGCTTTTCTTTCCAGCATAAAGATAAGGGTTCCATTCACCTCTAGCTCTCCCAAAGATTCACCTCTGGCTCTTGATCTCTCTATAATCTTTGTGCCTTCTTCTCCCCTTGCTAACACTAATCTGCCTTTATGTCAGAAAAAAAAAAAAAAAACCAAATCCATATGGTTTGTAAGAGGTGTCATGAACGAATTTCTTCCTAGAGCCGACATGCACTGCTCTCTTTTATAGAAACCTGAACAGGGAGATTTTATGAAGGCTTATTTCCACTTTCACCTCACTCAGTCCTTGCCAAAAGAAGACAACGTATCATGTAGCTCCAATGCTCTGAGGTGATGTTACCAGAACTGGAACATACATGTGCACGTGGACATGCGGTATCAGATTCTCAGCAACATAAGCGAGACGAAAATTCATGCTGAAAGGGACCCCAGGAGGTCAATGGTCCAGCCTTCTGTGCAAAGCAGGGCCAACTCAGGGTGTTAACTGGACCAGTCTTGAAAGCCTCAGTGCATAGGTGGAGACTGCACAACCACGAGGAAGAAGAAGAGCCTATGGTGGCTTTCTTCTGTTCCTCCAGTTCATAAACTAGTTCAAACAGCAGCATTCCTCCTTCTGAGTAGGAGGAATATACCAATCCACCAAAACACTCACAGGTTCTTTTAATTTTCCTTTTTACACAGACTTCCAGCCTCTTGTATTTGGATGAATTTACACAACTGGGGAATGGTGGGTTCATAGGTCCAAGACTTCAGGGTCAGCAGCAATACACTACTTCCACCAACAGTGTTAGCCTGCAGCTGCTAAAACCCCATAGCCCAGGAGCATCAGAGCTACCAGGCAATCTAAGGAAGGAATCAAAGAAACACAACAGCACACAGAGCATGAAGCCTACCTCTCATGTCCTGGTACTACACTCGTGTTGAACACGGCTATTGCAACTTGAAGCAAAGACAGCTCAGGGTAGAACTTACAGCCCTGTCAACAGCATCAGCCCCAGCCTGCAGAGTAAGGTTACAGCACCTATGCTCCAGTGCCACACAGACAGGTCATGCAGGCCAGGAGCCAGCATGCTGCTAAGTGCTCACAATAGTTTTACTCTAGCTACAGGAAGATAAGTAATTTGTCTTGAGGCAAGTCAGGTGTGAAGGTATTGCATAGCAACTACTGCAAGGAAACTGGTTGTGTGCATGT